CCGGTAGATTTACATCAATCCATCAATATTACCCGGTAAGAGGGCATAGCTTTTTGCCATGCGATAGAACCTTTGCAGTTATTAAGAGAGCAGTACGAAAATATGATCGCATTTATTCTCCAGACCAATACAAGGCCATCATAGAAAACGCCAAAAAGATTCAACCAACTTACAAAGTAAAAGAAGTAAAAAATGAAGATGTACTAGCCTGTAAGAAGTGGTGGCCTCTTTACTTTGTTAAATTACCAAAAAGCCTTGAAGATAAAAGAATATCTTTTGCCATAAGCAAATATAGTTATCTGATTCACAGAAGTGACCGGAAAGGATACGTGGTAGCGTCATCGTTCATTGGTGGTTTTCTCTCACACACCTTTAAACTTACAAAATCCAATGATGTAGTGCTTCCTTCAAGCAAGGCTTACGATTATGGAAAGGTACCTATTAAGGCAAGCAAGATCAATGACGTCATGAAACTCATCAAATACATTCCAGAGGAATACTTGCCCTTTTATGATGAACGTCGTACTTGGCCAACGACAGAAGCTGAGACCCCTGATGAAAATGATGAAAATTAACTTTCCATTATTGTGCTGTAAACTTTTTTTATAAATCATGTATGTATTTTAATATTACATTGCTATTTTTCAAATTATTTTGTTTCATGTTGCCTTAAAATCTCATTTGCAAGATATTGAGTGTAAAAAGGGACACATTCCATTATCTAAAATGCTAATAACTCAGACATAGTATTAAAAAAACCAAAATAACCATAACAGTTGAATGTCTTCCATTTACTTGTGAAACTTCATAATGGAACCATTTTCTGTAACATATTTAGTTTTGCAGATAAACAGTTTTTTTTAGTTCCTGAAAAATAGCCATTTTGGAATGCGTACCTTTTTCAACTCACCGATTCAAATGTGGAATATTTGCCTAAATACACTTTATATGTACAGATCAAATAGATAATGAATACTTAAATTTGAGGATTTATTTATACTTTGTCAGGTACTTCATGGTTTTATAAAATTACCATTTCTGTTTGTCGAAATATTAGAAACACAATTTAAAAAGTTGTTTTTTAAATGTTTCCCCATGTTTCGTTGACCTTAAGAAGGCATTTGATCGGGTCAAATTAAAAGTCGTTATCCACCGATCTACCAAAACAACACAATAAAAGTAAAAATAGAAGAACTAACCGACCATATTGAAGCTGGCAATGGGATAAGACAGGGAGATTCCCTAAGTGCTCTTTTGTTCAACCTGATTATGAATGAAATAATAAAAAAAGTAAGAACTAAAAAAGAATACCAAATGAGAGAAAAAAGAGCTTAAAATAATCTGCTATGCAGACGACACAATACTACTCTCTTAGAGTAAAGATGATTTATTTAAGACGTATGCTGCACCAATTTTATATAACCGCCAGATTTAAAAGATTTAACATGTTAATTTCCCCAAAAAAAAATGCATGAGATGCATGCAGATAATAGAGCAAGTGATGTGAGATTAAATATCTAGGCATCACATTATCTAGCTACGGAAAACTAAAAACAGAAGTGGAAGATCAACTGAATAGAGCAAATAGAGCCGCAGGTTGTCTGAATGAAACAATATGGAGAAATAAAAATATCGGGAAAGAAATGAAAGATGACCAAAAAATGGAAAGACTCTTAAATTTCACGAACTCTAAAAATGAGGTTGATCAACTGCTTAGTATTCTCAATACTGACATACACATCGCTCACTGGATGCAATAGTGGCACATCTCAAATTTTTGCTGTTTTGAATTTTAATACTTAAAACCTAGCTTTTGAAGCTCCACCTTCTAAAAATACTGGCATATAAATAACTATCTCATTTCCCGGTATATAGCGCAACTGACGTAATTGACTTTCGCGAATTTTTGCCACATCTGAGGAGCAATACCGGCTCAACAGTTTAGTACGTCGATAACCTTCTACAAGTGCACGAGGTAAGAGCATGCAATAGTGGCATATTGATTTAGTTGGGTAAGTTTTAACAATTATCATAATTTTATTGTGACAATAATGGCACTTTTAAAAGTGTCGCTATTGCATGTGTATATTTATATTAATAATTGTTTATTTGTAAACCATCTTCAATAATTGTGCCATTAATGCTAATATTTTTAGAGACCTACTGTTTATTAAGTAGAAATTTATAAATTGTGCCACTATTGACAATGAAATTTAAATAACTTTTAGCAAAATTTTAGTAATTTTGGAAGATTGCACTATTCGTTTCAGAGTCAAGTGATGTCGAGAATAAAAATATAAATTCTTGTGAGAGTGTTATTGATATTGAGACCCTCTATGCTGAAACATTAGAAAACAAGTTATTTGAAATAACTAACGATGTTCAGTTACAAAATGCTGTAATAATAGAAGTAGAAAATATTTTTTTGGAAGAAGTTAAAGGAATAAAAGATCTGCACACATCTCAAAAAGAAAATTCAATAAAAAACCCAATTTTTTCTTTGGTAAATGTAAACACCCCTTTCGAAGAAGATGAAGGTGCCGGTTTTTCAGATGACTTTATTGCTGATCCAAATTATGAAGACTACACGAACACATCTTCAAGCAGCGACGAAGCAAAGAGCATTTATGTCGACACTAATGCAAGAAGTTATGAAAACTGAGACCATCTTACATAAAAAACGAAAAAATAACAATGCATTCTATTTTCCAAAAAATGATCATAAAATTTGAGTATGTAAGATATTTTTTGTATCTACTTTGGGAGTAACAAGCCATTGTATCAGAAGTGTAATAAGTGAAAGAATAGAATGCAGTTTCGAAGAAAAAATAAAAAGACGGAAAGCAAAAAAATAAGTCTGACGCCAAAATTGATATTCGTGCCCATATTGAATCAATTCCGAAGATCGAAATTCACTATACAAGAGCACATTCTTAAAAACAGTATATTGAAGGAGGAAAACGATTGCAGATTTATATCGAGACTATAAGAATTTATGCCTAGCCCATGACAAACAATTTGTCAGTCTAAGTACATACAGGGATGTATTTAATTATGAATACAACTTGGCATTCTTTGTTCCTAAGAAGGACCAATACCAAAAGCGCGTTTCTTTTGAAAATGCGGATGAAGAAGAAAATAAAGCATTGGAAATTGACTACTTATCTCATCAACACGAAAAAAATTAAGCAGGGCAGAGAAGCAAGCGGACAAAGATAAAATATCTTAATCTTATAAGATTGCATGTTTTGACTTAGAAGATATATTACCGCTTCCAAAAGGTGATGTGTCCACGTTTTATTATAAGTCAAAACCGTCTATGTACAATTTTACAGTTTGCGACTTGGCGAGTAAAGGGCAGGGCTTGGTTTATTGTTTTATGTGGCATGAGGGACAGGGAAAACGTGGACCTTATGAAATAGGGTCATGTCTTCTAAATTTTCAGCAACGAAAATCCGAAGAATACGTGGGAAATAATTTGGAAATTGTATTTTATTCAGATAATTGTTCGGGACAGTAGAAAAACCAATTTGTATTAGCAGCTTACTTTCATGCATTAGCCAATTACAGTAAAATAAAATCAATTACTCATAAGTACCTGGTTACTGGATATACTCAAAATGAAGGAGACAATGTCCACTACCTCATAGAAAAAAATATAAAAAGGAGTCTTAGATTAGGGCCAATTTCAACACCAGATCAGTACCAGAATCATTTCCTTGCCAAACGGCAAGGAAAACCGGAAAACCTTTTACAGTAGTGGAAATGAGTTACGATCACTTTTTTGATATAAGTATATAAGTTGATGGTATAGATTTGTATACGATTTAGCTTTCACTACGTTTGCTCCCTTTTTAGCTACATTATAGTTTTGAAGATCTGTGTTCGACCTATTTTTTTGTCACTGTTGAAGAGCTCTGCTATCTTGCATTTTCCAATCTACTATGAATTATACTATCTTCAAAATCTATAGAATAACATTCTTAGTCTTAGCATATTGGAAACACTCCCGTACTGGTCATACGAAGTTTGTTCTTCTATGTTCTCTTCTATATAACTCCTCCCTGAGAATATCCCCTAATTTGATAGCTCCTTCATTAAATAGCCCCCGCGGTTCACCATCCACCGCTAACTCCCATTATTATGCATTGTAGCATTCTAATAATCCACTCAGTTGAGGTGTCAATCGTTTTTCCTCATTAGTGCTTATAGGCCTGATAAAGGTCTTATGAAATATACTATCAAGGTCTAAGAATGACTTCTTTTTCGTGTAGCGCTCAACCGTAGCGGCTCGTCTTGGGAAAAGTTAGCAGTTAGGTAAAATTCATGTTTATTAAAGCAAATCATTACAAAGATATCCTCGTTAAATGCACCAATCACTCCTTGTAAAGTTTTTGGCAAAATATGTAAACTTTCCAAATAGATAAGACTAATAATAAAGACACTGATAACAAAAACGTAAACAAAATTTATTGACCAGTAGATAAACCGCGCTTGTTTGACAAAGTTCTTTGCTGCAATTGTTTCAATTGTATTCCTTATCACGATTATCTTTGCCCGGATATTATGAGTAACATAACGAGACGATAGTACCTAATACGCGGAAGGTACGAGTAGTATAGAAAGTTTCAATACCGATTAAACTTTCTGTCAGCGAACAAACTAAATATTTTGTTATCTATTCTACAAAATGGGAATAAAGCTTCAAATTTATACAGGGAAATATAAGAATACACTATTATATTATTTGTATTTTTAAGTAGGTTTTGATTTATTAATTTATTTGTGTGTGCTTAATAGTCCAGTAGTCAGAGGCGAAAATGCCACTGAACCTTTAAAAATTATACAAACAAACTGAATTTTGCTGGGTATGTAAGAAATGTAGCTGAGATCATTTTGAACACAAATGTTTATATATTTACCATATTTATCATAATTATAAACAATAACAGTAATATATTTTCTATAAGACAATACCGATTCGTTTCTGTTTGTTTCAGAATCTACAACGCCATATTGGAACCAAACCAAAGATATAATACGAGTTAACCCAGTCAAAGTAGAAGAAATGGCTTCAGATTTGATAGCACCAGCTGTTGTCGTTGTAGGCCTATTTGTTATAAATGCCGCAGTTCTCTTCCTCATCCGGAGGGCAAGAAAAAGGTAATTATATTATTTTACCCCGGTGGTATTTCCTTTAGTTGAAACTGCAGTTTTATAAAATTAGATGTGTACTTCAAACTACACGAATTGTTAAATGTGTTGAAAAAAAGGATTGAAAATAGCTCTAAATACACACCAACTACTCTTCTTATTTCAATAAAAACAATAAAATATTTATTTTATGTCATAGAGTAGACCGGGGAAGTCCCGACGCCTTAAACAATTTGAATTTTCAGATTTCATCTATATTAGTTAGGATTTTTATGAATTTTTTTAAAACCCTTCTCTCTATTCGGATTGCCGAATATGGGCCTCTCCTAATTCTCACCATTTATCTGTTGATTGTAAGACGTTTCCACATTGGCCCTGCAGTTCTTTTAAGATCGTCGCTCCAGCGCATTTGCGGTCTTCCTCGTAGTCTTTTGGCTTTATATCGCCGCCAATTCCCGATTTCTTTATTCCATGGGCCATCCTTAAGACTTTTGTTATGCCCAGCCCATTTCCATTTCAGTTTAGCTGCCTGTTTGAGAGCATCTTTTCCTTTTGTTCTATTACGAATGTCTTCATTGGTTTTATGGTCGTTGAGTGAGATACCCGGCATCTGTCGTTCCATAGGTGTCTGAGTTTTTCTGATCTTCTCCATTTATTTTAGTGAATGCCCAGGTTTGAGCTCCATATGTAAGTACAGGTAGGATACAGGAATTAAACACTTTGGTTCGCAGTCTTTAAGGAATATTTTTATTTTTAAGTACTATGAGAGTCTTCCGAATGCTGCCCATCCCATTTTTACACGTCTCCTTATATCGGTGGTGTAATTTTCTTTGTTTACCTTGACATTTTGATCCAGATATGTATATTCATCTACGTGTTCTATCGCTAACTCTTGGATGTTTATCATAGGTTTGTCATCTTTGTTTGATATTAGTTTAGTTTTGCTGAAATTCATTTTCAGTCATTTTTAGCGATTCTATGTGTAGCTCCTCAATCAACGTATTCACTGCATTCCACCTGTCGTCTATTAGTACTACATCATCTGCGCATCTAAGATCGTCCGAGTATCTTCCGTTAATAGGGATTCCCTTATGTTCCCAGTCTATTGACTTAAATATATCTTCTAGGGCAGCTGTAAATAATTTTGGAGATAATGTATCGTTTGTCTTACGCCTCGGTTGATTTTTACTGGTCTTGTTTCGATTCCATTACCCAACGTCACTATCATTTCAGCTTGTTCGTAAATATTATGTATTAATATTCTGTACCTGGACTCGATCCGATTGTTGACTAATGATCCTTTTTTTGCTCACAGTTCTACGGTATCAAAAGCTTTTTCATAATCTGTAAAAGCCAGACATGGAAGATTCTATTCGTTAGTCTTTTCTATTAGGATTGTTAAGTCTTTATTAATTTATTGTTCTTATCTTAATTTACTAAAGGTTTAATATTTATAACACTCACGAATTTATCAAAGTCTTTATTACTACTAATTTATTTTACATTTAATAATTACAAATAATTTATTTACGTGCGATACAATTTACCGCGAGACCGGACTTCTTGTTGACTGACTTTTCCAATAAAATCCATGTTATTTATATATAATACCGCCAGACCAGAAACATGTGGATATAAGTCGGTGACCTTCCACCCATTAGGAGGTGACTCATTCAGCTATACTAGAGAAGTCGATCGCATTCTGGTAAATTCAGAGTGTGGTCGCCGACGGCATTCTTAGTACCTGGACTGGTTATCCGACCCTTTTGTAGAATTCGCTAGTATTTGACCTAGAACATTCGTGAATGAGTAAATATATTTACAGTTTTTATACGCCATAATATTAATTATTGTAACAGGATTTTTAAAGTATATAGATGGGCACAGGTGTTGTACCCTTTTCTAAATCCACCTTGTTGTACTGGTTAATATCCGTCAAATTTAATTTTTAACTTGTTTGTAATAATCTTTGTAAAGGTTTTGTAAAGTTGTGAAAGAAGTGATATTTGTTGATAATTTTTCAGGTCTGTGGTATCTCCATTTTTGTGTATTAATATTATTTTAGCAGTATTCCATTGTTCGGGTATGTTACCTTCGAATAACCATTTATTAAATAGTATTTTTAGATGTGATGGCTTCTTCTCCGCTTTCCTTCATCATTTCTGCTAGGATTTCATCGCTTCCAGAAGCTTTATTCCTTTTTATTTCTTTTACTGTTCTTTCTATTTCTTTGTGTCTTATTTCGGGCATCACTTCTGAGTTGACTTTGTTATCTGCCTTTTCAAGTTCTGCTTTGAGGGGGATCGTTTCTGGAACGATACAGATCGGCGTAGAACTTTTTAGTTGAGTTTGCTATATCAGATTTACATTTTTCTAGTTGTCCTTCTTCATTTTTAATGGATATTATTTTTTTCTTTCCTAGTTTCGGTTTGGTGCATTTGAGATTTTGGTTTTTTGCTATGACTTGTTTTATACTGTTTACTTTTTTTTATGTCCTCTTTGTGTCACTTTTGTATTGTCTTTTGAAGATCTTTTCTTTGTTTCAGCATGTTTTGTGATTCTACACTTATTTTGGGTTTTCGTTTTCTGTTAGCGGTTGCCACTTCTGAGCTTGCATTTAATTTTTATGAAAATACCTATACTATAATCGGAATTTTCCGCATCCATTGGGTATGTAATATTGGTAAAACAATGTTATTTAAAAACAATATTTCCGTAACTTAAGCAAGGTGTCGGTATTTCCCCGATCACCGGGGTAATTCTGACAGTAGTAATAATAAGAAAATAATGAGGCAACTGATGGTATCGCTATATACGAAAACATTAAATACTTGAACGAAAACAAGATAAGCAGACACATTAAAAATAAAAACTTGTTTCTATAACAAAGAACTTAGTTCATAGAACAAAACTGACACTGATAGTTTTCAGGGCAATCATACCCACTGTACTCAGCGTGAGCCCATTATCCACAAAACACATATCTGTACCATAGTTTAGTTTTTACACCAAACTCACCACAAACCAAACACATTTCAGTGTTTTAGGAAAATAATTCAAAACTGTCATTAAAATTGTTGTCATCACATATTTTTGATTCATCTATATCTTCTTCATGAAGACGATTCTTCAAAATTAATTTGTCTTTTTACACCTTCTTCTTTTATTTGGGATTTATTTTCAACTTTTAAATGTTTTCTTTTTTCACTCTACAACATTTTTGACTTCAGATTCGGGTAGACCTTTTGATCATGTATAATTTTTTCTAGTCCCGAATTTCTTTTTTCTTTCACCGTTTTCATAGGTGTACCGTTTTCTAAAATTTTTTGGATTTGGTTTATCATCATTAAATGATTTTGGAAGAGGTGATACAGACTCCAAAATGTCTTTGAAATGAGACAGATTCTCACCGGATTTTGGACAAGAATTTGGTACAACATTCGTTTTCGAACTACCAGGTAATGGATTTTTATAAATTCCACTTAATCCTATGCTGGTGATTGTCTTGGATCCGAATTTCTGTACCGTGTCTTTTGGATTATGTTTTAGAGCTTGCAAGCTCTTCAGTCACCTTATGATTGTGTTCATGAAAAGTTGCACCAAGTGCTGGTTCATAAACATTTTTACATTCTACAATGATTGGAGCTTGAGTGTCTTGCTCAGTGACAAAGTCTATATCAGTAAATTTTGCAGGGCTGTACGGTTAGATCCCTGAAGCACTAAACCCTAAAACTCTTTTATCCAAGTAAGTTTCATTAAATATATATGTCAGACATAGAAATCTTCTGAAATTGGTTTTCCCTCAAAAACCTGTCACACTGTATGTTGAATGCTTTCTTCAGAGGCCATAAAACGACAAATCCAAAGGCTGTAGTTTATGTGATGTGTCAGGTAGTATTGAGACAACATGTATGTGATTAGATCTACAATAATCATAACTATTAAGAGACATGTGACTCCCGTAAATGTCCATGATCAATAAGACGGGATCTTCCTCTGTTGGTTTTACGTTGTCTTTGAAATGTGTTAGCTACTGCATGAAGAGGTCTTCATTTGACCAGCCCTTATGGGAGCATTTGAAACGGCTCCAGCTGGTCCACCTTTTTCTAACTGCGGTGATATCCTCTGCCTAGGATATATAAACATGGGCGGTATATATACACCTGAAGCACTCAAAGTGCAGACAATCGTAATGTTTCTGCCTCTTTCCGAACTTATGATAAAGCCCACCTGATGTTAGCTCTTAGTAGCTAAATCCTTTCTAGGCTTTTGGATCGTATATATACCAGTTTCGTCCATATTAAATATTCTAGTGGACTTAAAAGGTATTTTTCTTGTAAACTGCTTCCAAATTGGAAGAAAATCCACTTCAGACTTCACAAACATTGTTTGTATTTTGAGAACGACTTCCGAAGAGGAAATTGAAACGTAAATAAACGTACTTTAACTTTTAATTGAAGCTTATTCCCATTTAAATATAAATTACTTTAAAATGCCACAAGAAAATAGCTTCAGAATAATAATAAATACTGACTTCTACAGTTGATTCTACAAGGCAAGATTGAGCTTAAGAGAGGTCCTGGACATAGACGTATATCCTGGCTGGCCAATCCTGCCAGGAAATGGACTGGTCTAACGTCAACTGATCTATTTCGAGGTGCTGTAAATAGAATAAGATGGGTCAATGTGGTCGCCAATATCTCTCTAAGGCAGATTTAGAAGAAGAATAAATATTTTCCCCTAGAAGGAAAATTCAGTTATCTAAATCTAAAGCTGAATTACGAAAGGATGTGTAATTCTTTTCTTGTTATCAAGTCATAGGTGACCTAGTATGCTGGAGTAACGGCTCGAACCGAACAAGAACATTGCTAAAGCAATTTTGTTTCTGCATAACAAATATTTTCTGTTAAAAGAAAAATTCAGTCGGGCTAGAAACTTGGGTTATCAAAAGGATTAAACTATGTGGGACTCATTCTTGTTATTGAGCCCAAGGTGACCTGGCATGTTGGAATATCCCCCAAAAATTTTCGGACATGTCTAAAAGCACAATCTTCAGTTTTCAATTTGACACAAACTTTTTCGAGAATTGTTAAAAGAGGGACTAGGATCTAGTGTAATTTATAGTTATTACAGGTGTTAACTAGCTCGCATGCGTTGTAAAATGCTGTATGTGCACCCTTCTTCTTTTCCTTCTACGGCACTACAACCCAAACTGAGCCTTGGCCTCCTTTATTTTTTACCTCCACCCTTACTTTTCTGTGGCTGATCTCCATACGTGGACTCCTAAAAAGGCTTGTGCGTCGCTGTTTACTGTGTCTTCCCAGCGCTTTCTAACAAGTCTCTTTTCCTGCAGTCTAGCATTCAGTGCTCTTTTTGGTAGCGTACTCTTTCCCATTCTCATTACATATCTAGCCCATTGCAATCTTTGTAATCGAATGAAGTCTGACAGTGGTACTTCCTCATAAAGTTGATAAAGCTCGTTGTTGTATCGACTTATGAGGATTCCGTTTTCCCTCACAGGTCCTAGTATTCTCCTCAGTACTTTCCTTTCGAATGTATCGAGTTTGCTTTTGAATGTTTCTTTCAGGACCCATGTTTCACTCCCATAGCATGCTATTGGTCGAGTTAAGCTCTGTTTGCCTGCGTTATTCTATTCCGTATTTCTCCATCTTCTGATCCGTCGTCATATATTTCTACTCCCAGGTATGTAAACTTTCCAACCGTTTCAATGTCATGTATAATGCTTTTGTGAATTCAACTGTGTTTCTTCTTCTCGTCTGTATCATCATTTTTGTTTTTTCTGTGTTCTTTTCCAGACATGACATTGTTTGTGTTTTTAACTCTGCGTTTTCCTCTGCTCCTGTTGATGTTCTACCCATAATATTAATATCATCGGCATAAGCGACCAGTTGAACCGTTTGGTTGGTAAGTAGGTTTTCGCGTCCAGTTTGCATTTGATTAACCTTATACCCCAGTGCCAGGTTAAACAAAGTTGGGTCTCCCTGCTTTAATTTCTGCGAAGTTTTGAAAAAGACTGTTCGATGATTTTGTATTTGTATACATGCCTGAGATTCATCCATTTTAGCTTTAATGAGTCTAATTAGCTTGTGTGGTATTGCCAATTCAGCCAATATAATGTAGAGTTTGGTCATTTTGACTGAGTCGTATGCCTGTTTGAAATCTACAAACACGTTGTGAACATCAATGTCATGTTTCCATATCCACTTTTTATCTTTTTTAGATATTTGTAAGCCACTCTAATTTCGTTGCTTTTGAAATTTTCTTCCATTTTTTCTATTTGTCCATTTTCACAGACTCTTTTTTTATTTCTACATATCTTATCTACTTTCCGTCTTACGACATTAAATGATGTTCGTATTTCCCGTGTTCTTCTGTCAGTACTGCTGTTTTGATATTATGCCATTTGCCCTCTATGGAGTGCAGTTCTAGCGTCCTTAACTCATTTGCGACTTCTTCTTCGAACTTCTCTTTACATTCATAAATCTTCAGTTTTTTCAGGTCCAGTATTATTGTTCTTTGTTGTCTTTCGTTTCTTTCTTTGTTAACTCTGCATCTAAATTTGGGTTGGGATAAAAGATGGTCTGATCCACAGCAGGCTTCTCGTCGTGTTCTCACATCTGAGATACTACTGGCTGCCCTTTTGTCTGGGCACTGTGTGCACATATGTGCAACGTTGGTAATGCTGAATGAGCTAAAGTGTTGCAAAGCAAGTCCTAAAAATGTTTATCTTGTCAAATCTTTACCATATTATTGGAAAAGTACGCTAGGTTGCCTATAGAAATATAAATGGTGACTGATGTTATTGTAAATTTTCAAGCATTTAAAGTAAATTTAAAGTCCTTTTATCCATACTGTTATTATTCGTTTGATATATTGACTCTAACTGAACAATATTTCTATTTCTATATAAATGACTGTTTATTGATTAATATTTGTTATTTTTGTTTTCAGGCAAGATTTGACAAACATAAATGACGAAGAATTAGGTTCATTTACTCTCTCCTCACCTGTTGAATGAATGTTGCCTTAATTTAGTTGTAATTTGTAATATATAAAATAAAAATTATATACATTTAATATTTTTTCCTATGAATAAATTTATATTTATGTCGAAATATGTACCGTTATTTCGAAGTATCGAGTTTTGAATATATTGTATAAGAATTACAACATTCTTAATAAAAACTTTGTTGTTTTATTGACCTCGTTTAAATGTAGTGAGTTTGCATATTTATTATAATTACCTATTCTTAAACTAATAGTTTTTCTGCTTTATAATAAAACGTCCAATTTCTTGACAAATTAAAAACTTATTATTATAAAATTAAAAAGGGATCCCTTTTTAATTTTATAGTTGACAATATGGTCAATTTAGCTCTACAGTATTTGCGATATAAAACCGGAAACACCAGAAATTACCACAAATAAAGAACTTAATATAAATGTACAGGAAGATCGCAAAATATTCGAAAATGTGAAGAACAGAAAAGCAGCAGGTAAAGACGGGATACCAAACGAACTATTGAAATATAGTGGAGCAGCAATGACAGAACAATTAACAACATTAATTAATAAAATTATAAAACACAATAAAATACCGGAAGAATGGAGAACGAGAGTTACTATTTAAAAAAGGAGATAAAAACAGCTAGAAAACTACAGGGGTATAAACTTGCTAAAGATTACCCTAAAACTTACAACTAAAATTTTACAAGCGCTAATAAATCAGATGATCAGTTTAGCAAATGAACAACAGGGTTTTCGTAGTGGAATATCTTGTACAAATGCAATATTCGTTATAAAGTAAATTACTGAGAAATCACTAGAGTACAATAGACCAGCATTTCTGTGTCTGATTGACCTCTAAAGAAAGTGTTTAAAAGAGTAAGATTCAAAGTAATCCATCTTCTGCATAATAGAGAAGTCCCCTTAAATATTATAAAAACTATCGAAAAATCTACCAAAACAACAAAATGGAAGTCAGAATAGATCGACAACTTCCAGTACCTATAGAAATAAGCAGTGGAATAATACAAAGGTATTTATTGAGCTCCATGCTCTTCAATTTAATCATGGACAAAATCATCAAAAGCGTTAACAAAGAAAGAGGATACAGAATGGGAAACAAAGAAATAAAAATTCTCTGTTACGCAGACGGCGCAATATTGATAGCCCAAGATGAAGATAGTCTGTAAAGACTGGTCCACAGATTTAACATAAAAGCAAAAGAATTTAATATGACATCTCATCTCAAACTAAAACGATAGTAGTCAGCAAAGAACCAACTATATGTAAAATAGAAACTGATGACATCAGTATTGTACAAATAATGGAAATAAAATTGGAAACTTGGAAATTACACTATCTAGCTATGGAGACCTGGACAAAGAAGTGAGAGACCAAGTACAAAAAGCAAATAGACTGGCTGGATGCCTTAATAACACTATATGGCGAAACATATACATTAACATTGAGATGAAGTCAAGAGTCAAGTCATTTATAAAGTCAGTGTAAGACCACTGATATATGCCTCAGAAACAACAACCGACACAGCCACAACGCAAAGAAGAATTACAGGAAATACACGAGAGCTCTCTTCAATAGCCTCAGGAAGATTTTATGTAATATACACCTGAACATTGATATAAGTACACGAGTCTTGAGATGCTATGTATTTTCTACCCTTTTATATGGAGTCAAAGCCTGGACCTTGACGGAGACAACATCCAAACGATTAGAAGCCTTCGAAATGTGGTGCTACCGCCGCATGCTCAGAATTTCCTATATCCATCATGTTACAAACAACACCGTGACCCAACGTATGAATAAAGATCTGGAAATTATGCGTATCGTGAAAATCAGAAAGATGACATACTTAGGGCATGTGATGCGCAATGAAAAGTATCAACTAATTTTACAAGGCAAGTTAGAAGGCAAAAGATCTCAAGGGCGCAGAAGGACATCGTGGTTGAAAAATATCAGACAGTGGGCAGGAATGACTACCATACATCTATTTAGAGCAGCTGTCAACAAAGTTGTATGAACCAACATGATTGCCAACATCCACAGAGGATAGGCATCAAAGGAAGAAGAGCTGAGAGATCGAAAGAGAAGTGAACGTATTAGAAAAAAATGTAACGTACAGTTTATAAATGAATGGACACAAAATATAAAAAATAGAATGGAATAACCACATAAGAAAAATGGAGGAGACTTGTGTTGTCAAAATACCACAGCCTGAGGTTTGTGCCCCTCCAAATATAAATCTGACAGGACCCTGGTCTTCCTGGCCTTTCGGCATACGACCGTAAGCGACTCCACTGCCCCACGAGTCCGACACCAAATAAGGCGGCATGATGCCGAAACACCGTGGGGCTCCACCTTACCCGTAGTATTTATTATATCGACGAATAATTTTACTTGGTTTACTCTATTCCTGATTCTCAAGTAGTGTTCTCGTGCCTCCGGAGTCTTCACTCCTTTGTATGTTAGGAAAGCTTGTTTCTTTTCATTTGCTAGTGCTTTCACCCTTCATGGAGTTTTGTATTCCCGTTTATTTCTGTTAACTTTTCTTTACCTAAAGCTTCTTCCGCTGCTTATAGGATATACTTTTTAATAATTTTCCAGGTTTCTTCTATATTCTTTTTAGTCTCTAGATTATGGCTATTTAGCTTTTCTGTTAGTCTGTTTCTATTCAAGTATTGAGTCCCTTCTTCTTCTAGGCTTTCTATGTTTAACTTTTCTTCTACTTTTGTATTTCGCTCTCCTTGTGTAGTAATTGCTATATTTACTTTTCCTAGTACCAGGCCATAGTCGGATCCTACATTGGCGGAAGATAGAGTGCGCACATCTATTACATTCTTAGGGTGTATTTGTCTGTTTGCTATAATGTAGTCAATCATAAAGTTACGTCCTCTTGTATCTGACCAGGTGATCTTATGTTGTATTGGATGGTCAAAGTATATGTTATTCATTCGGAGGTTATTCATTAAACAAAGTTCTAGAAGTCTTTCTCCGTTGTCGTTGAGCGTTTCTTCGCTAACTCTTTGTGTAACTCCAGCCACAAGTATGTTGCCTACTCTGGCGTTTAGTTCACCGAGTTCTCCAGTAGATCTTGGAGCTGTCCATAAGCATCTTTGTCTTCCTTGTGTTTGCTGTTATCCGGTGTATATACGGGGATAATATTAAGTATCGTCTGGTGAAGTTTAAGGCAAACCAGCATCATGGCATCATGTGTTCGTTGTTGTATTTTATTTCTTGAATATTGTTACTATAATATTTATTGTGCTTCAAGAGGCCTACTCCTGCCTGAGCTCGTTTGCTTTTATCTACTCCACTATACAGAAATATAAATTTTTTTCTATTGGCACTTCCTTTCCTTTTTTTTATTTTTTATTTTCGTTCACTGCACATACCGGGTGGTGAATCGTCAAACGGACCATAGGAAACTCAATGGGAAATTTTAAATTGTTAAATTGCTGCTTCCCTAATTATTTTATATCAAAAGTCATAAAAAACTATTTGTAGAGGACTAAATTCTGAATTAAAAACAAATGTTAAAACCGTTCTACGAATCAAATGTACTTCAAAATTTTGAAAAAATTTGATACATTTTTCAGACCACCCCTAAAAGTTAGGCCACACGTAATGCAAGAATATATATTAGGACGTTTGTGTTTTATCATATTAATGTCAGATGTTTGACAATTTGAATTGTCAATTTTTTTATTTTATAATTAAATTATAAACAATGAATTTTACTAAATACTACTACTACTGAACATTATTACTTTGTGAACAATAAATTATATTGTTTACAAATCGATCAATATAATGAAATGTACTCAGTTGACGAAAAATCGCATAATGTTGTATTCAGGCAATAGCACGAACCTTTTCCTGCCACTACCGGATCTTTATTTAACGTAAGATATTCTAATTCACTAAAATTTAATTCCATGTTAAGTTAAGTTATACAACAATTCAATGAATTCCAATATACTGTTACTGTGATCTTTATTCCTAATAATAATATATGATTATTTCTAAACATAAAACTATAACAAATGTTATAATAAAACATGAATAAAACATTTTTATTATTGCTTTTTTCTCCTCAACTGAGTACATTTTTTAATCAACTTAATTTTTTTTAAACAATAAATCACAAAATTTTGGTCATTTAAATCATAGATAAATATAATATAATTGATTTAAATATTGTCAAATATCAGAAACAATAATACGGCAAAACGCAACACGTAATACACATTTTTTCACAGAAAAATGTATTATATTTTAGCAAAATTTTGGAATACGTTTAAGTCGTAGAATAATTTTAACAGTTGTTTTCGATACATATTTGAGTCCTCTACAAATAGTTTCCCATGACTTTTGGTGTAAAATAATTAGGGAAGCAGGAATTCAACAATTTTGAATTTACCATTGAGTTTCCTATGGCCCGTTTGCCGATTCACCACCCTGTATATCAATTTTATGGAGCTCCAATTCCTACACAACTTCTTGTTCCCGTTTGTTCCACGATGCGATGTTCCAAGTGCCAATTCGGAGATTATTTGGTCTCTTTGTCCTTTTTATTGCGTGGTTCGTCATCTGTATCCGTCCAATTCCGATGCTTCTGTTCGATTCTATGAGCATTGATTTTTTGACAGTAGGTAGGCTGCTAACCTTGCTCATCAACCTTCTTTTCGGATGACCATTTCTCCCTTCCACGTCAGTCCTGACCCTGCCTTCCATTGGGTTTGGTTGCCAATCTCCAGCAAGGTTGCTCAGGTTTTCCAGAGTTCACCCTTGCAGCCTAAGCCGCACTTCGTGGAGGTGAGGATAGGGATTGAGTAGGAGAGGCTAGAGAATGCTAACTGGAAACAGCATCTTATATTGCGCTTCACTAACTCTTTAAACCCCCAGTAAACCTCTCAATCCCAGACTGTATGGTTTACCAAGATACACAAAGTTGATATTCCTATTCGTCCAGTTGTCAGTTTCATCAATATTCCAGTTTCTATTATATCTAAAGTCATCCTTAACACCCTAAAAATTTTATCAACTTCACCTTCAAATCCAGAAAATTTAAAAATTCTTTTGGATAATTCGTCTTCATTAACAATACTGTAGATTGATTTAAAAGATACCAGATCACCTGGTAACAACTGTTAAATCTGGAAGTTATTTCGTTAACATCAACATTTTTCATGATTCAAGTAATTATTCAGTATAGCCGGAAAGACACTTTTCAAAGCAATTCATTCATATTTGGTCCGTTTCCAATATTTAGCAATTGTTTGGAAAATATTTGCCCCGATAGATCATTGCATGCATTAATGGTCAAACGAACTGTTTGGACATTTCATGTCATATTATTTCATAAAAACGATTATGTTAAACATGCATTAATCTCATCAGAATATGTAAAGAGAGGAATAAGCGGTAATGTCTGTTTGCCTGTAAACTAACAATCATTTACTACTAACACATGCCAAAGAAAACTGCGGGAAACAATAACCAAAGGTTTCAAGTTTATATTTTCGAAATTGTAAAATATTTTCAAATATATAATCACACAACAGTGTTGCTCGATTTTTAGTAAATAATGAAATTATTCATGTAAGAATCATTAGAATTCTACGTTGAATTTGGGATGTTAATATTGAATAATATTTATTCCTTACTTTAACGAAATATTAAGTGAAATGATATCTCAGCTTTCCGCATTGCTTAGAACAACTGTAAGTTGCCTACATTTGGCGCAACTCCACGACGGTAAATTATAATTTATAAAATATACGTTTGTAGAGATAATAGAGCTTACTTTCTTCATACATACGATAAAAATATAATATGAAAATTCTTATGGATTTAGTATACCTACCCCATTAGATTATTTTTTAACATTCTCAGTAGATTTTAAAATATAAGCTTATTTAGAATTGTTTCATTAAATTTATAATCATAAAATGTATTGAATTAATGCACAAACTTAAATTTTTAATTTTATTGCAGAGAAAATGTTGAAAAATTGTTTTTTTTATTGTAAATAAACAATGTTAAACATTTTAAAATTATTTTTAATTATAAACATATTTCGTTTTTATTAATTTTCAATGGGAATGATAAAAATATTTTACTCTCGAGTAAAAATTACATTTTTATAAAAATAAAACTAATTTTACTATTTTCCTTAAAATTTCATCATATTTTCTCGAGTGTAAGCGAAACGAAAAAAGTAAATAGATAGGTATGAAGTTGTTAAACGTTACTTTATATGTAAATGAATTACCACTCAAACAGAAGATCGTATAAAACATTTTGTATAAGAATACCTATAAGGTAACTGTGGGTAAACAAAACCGGTACTTGTACTATTTTACTTATAATTTCATATTTTCTTACCTATTATACCTTCCTAGGACTTTAAAATAAATATTTCAAAACCAAAATGAGCCAAATCAATTCAATCGTTCTCAATTTATTATAAAAAAAGTTATAAAAATATAGAATGACGTTTGTTAATGTCATTTTATAACTACATGGATCAAAAACTAAAACTACAGAGGTGAAGTCGTATATAACATTATGAAATTACAATTAAAAAAATAAGGGTTATTCAACGTGATAAAAAATATAGTATCCCCTAAGTTGAACCAACAAATACACTTCCACAAAATTTTATTCCAACTGGTTTAGTGATTTTTGAATATTTTGATAATTGGGACAATCATCGTGACACAACATTTTTATGATAAAAAGATACACATAAATTGTCAATGTTTTATTTATAATTACATATAAATTATTTATTACATATACTTATTATTAATACTAATAAATAACTGAAACGTCATTTTTGAAAGAATATTGTTAAAAATATCTACTTTTGTGCACAGTCATTTTTATTCCATTGAGAGGCACCATAAAGGGACTCCTTGGATTCAATAACATCTTATCCGGTGTTTCTGCGCATCTGTCTATCTTAAACTTCCGTAAAAAGTACACTAATCCAATTTTGGCACAAATCAAACCAAAACGATCACCTGTAAAAAAAAATATTATCAAAAATTTAAAAATAAAACATATGTTATATGATATACACAAGAACACATATTTGAGCGCACATGTAAATAGAATATTTACAAAAATATCAGGTAAATATCAGGAAAAATATTAGAAATGCCAGGATAAAAGATGGATAGGTGTAAGGTATCAAATTTCCTGAACGAATTCAATTCAATTTAAACAACCGACAATAACAAATTCACCTTTAAGAAAAAGAGATATGACCTGGGTCCGCACAACGCAAAAAAAACAATAGTATTCGCAGCATCAGATACTAATAACGATGAAGATTATGATATAAGAATGTACCTCGAAACTCAATGTCAACTATCTCTTCATCTGACAACACTTACTCCGACAGAGGTTCGACAACAAATAAAAATGCTAAATCCTAAGAAAGCTCCTGGCTATGATTTGATAACAGGAGAATTACTTCAGCAGCTACCGAGAAAAGCAGTGTTGTTAACATTAATTAACAACAAGAGCCCACGTCTTCGTTACTTGCCAATACAATGAAAAATGATTAGTTAGGAAGTTACTATGATTCCGAATTCTGATAAGCCCGCAACGCAATCACATTCATATCGAATTATAAGCCTACTCCCAATAATGTTGAAAGTATTAGAAAGGCTAATATTACATAAAATCGAGCAAATTTTTCCCATAAACGAAATTATACCACAACACTAATTCGGATTTAGACGTGAACACTCAATCATCCAACAATGCCACACAATAGGAAATTTCATTCTAACAACTTTCGGAGAGAAAAAGTTTTGCACTGGAGTGATTCTAGATATACAACAGGCATTTAATAGAGGCATAAAGGTCTCCTCTACAAACTGAAATTACTCTTTTGCTTATATTTCATTCTTGTACTTACCGATGCAGTTCCTTGGTCCCATTCCAAAAGGCATATAGACACAAGACTGAAAATATCTATGTTTATTTCCATCAACGAATCTATCAGGATCGAACACCTCTGGATTTGGAAAATACTCAGGATCATAGTGGAGACCATCAAGAGGTATCAACACTGGAGTTCCTTTTTCTATAACCAAGCCAGTTTGCTCGATAACATAATCTTCTCTGCATCTTCTGTTGAGGAATGGTCCAAAGGGATATCTACGAAGAGTTTCTAGTAACAAAAAAATAGGTTATTAAATTGTCAGGAGGTATTGTACATAGATCAGTTGGTAGATCTAATTTTTAAAAATATTTCAACATTATATATGTTGAGCAATATGTGTCTGATGATGTTCTAGAACAAGAATATACCACGCCTGAACAAGAATCGTAATAAGACTGTGATGAAGTGGTACAAGGGGAAGAAGATGAAGAAAGAATAATTTTTAAATACTATCTTGGTAAAGACAAAAAACAATGTGGAGTAAGATGTGTCTACACATTTGTCTAAGTAGACTGCGCCTTCTTCAAGAACTCGTCAACAAATATTGGTTTTGAAGTTATCAAAACCAATAAGAGAAGCTAGAAACCCAAAAACACAGATTGAATGCTTCAAATGTACGCTAGATGATAATAACGTCAAAGAAATTACGCTTTGTACCAACATCTATATTGCGAAGGTAAGAGCAAATTTCCAACGCTACAGATATGCTAAAATGACCGACGTCGAAGAGATTTGGGGACTTGGTATACTCTTTTTAGCAGGTGTTCTAAAATCTGAAAGTCTAAATGTTTTGCAAATGTGGGATAATAAGAAAGGTACTGGTGTTGAAGCTATTTACTTAACAATGTCTTTAAATCGCTTCCGATTTCCATTGAGATGTTTGAGGAAAGACTTTCGCAGAATGGTAGAAAGACAATGCGTCCACAAAAAAACAGCTTCTAATTGAATGAAGAACCAAAGACTATTGTGGGCCAATACTCTAATTGGACTGTAGACGACTGGAGAAAAGTTCTATTTACAGATGAAACTCACTTAACAGAGCGGTCGAAATTAGTCAGGAAGTCTGAGAATAAAAACCTTACACCATCTCATATTGATTAAACCGTAAAACTTCCAGTCAAAAAACTGTTTTGGGGATGTTTTTCATACATGAGGTTTGGATCTTTGGTACCAATCGAAGGCATAATAAACAACCAAAAATACAAATCCATGTTGGAACAGCGTTTGGACACAGAACTCCAAAAATGTGAGCCCCAAGAAGGAGCGATTCTTCAACAGGACTCTGCTCCCTATCACAAGTCAAAGCAAATAATGGAATTTTTCAAAAATAAGATGATTAATATTTTATATTGGCCCGTTAATTCGCCAGACCTCAACCTGATTGAAAATTTATGCAAATTGATTGTACTATAAAAATAAAAATGATAGAACAGGTCATTCAGTTTTTGTTTCGAGACGAAATGATATCTGGGAACTTTCTGTACTGTAAAAGCAGTCATTGCCGCCAAAAGAAGACATATTTTCTACTAAAAGATGTAAGATTACCTTTATAATTTTGTCAAAATATAATTTTTTTCTAAATAAACTGTTTTTTCATTAAAACAGCCAATGATCCATTCATTCGTGCAGTACTGTAGAAGAAAAAATCATACGGACCGCAGAAGAATATCTTGAATGAGAAACTTAAGATAGTGGTTTGTTTTCACTACAAACAAACTGTTTAGCAACGCTAGCTCTAAACACGGTTAGAATATCCTTGATGATATTCATGCTTCGATAGGAAAGGAATATAAATAAGAAATTCTTTAATAAAAGTGATTCCAAAATACAACACAATACTAGTGTTACGCCTGATCTTAGTACGCCTATGAAGGAATAGAGTCGAAAAAACGATTCAAGTGCACGTGCCCTGACACTAAAATTCAGTGCAGCCTAGAAGCCGGTCGAACGACTCAAGGCATCGAGAGATTTCTGCAGTCATAGGCGCACTATACATAGGGGTCAATTAGGGATACAGTATTAAAGAGTGTAAATAAATCAAAATAAGTGCTAGAAATCTGGGAATAAATAAATGAGTGATTTTGCTTTTACCTGAAAGAACCATGTCCAGATATTTCAACTTTTGTAGATTTTCGTAAGTTATATCCTCCTCTGTTTTTATAATACTCAATATTTCTTCCCTAAGCCTGTCTTGACAATCCGTTCGGAGACCGAGCTCATAGAGTGCGAACGCTACGGCATTGCTAGTGGTCTCAAATCCAGCGATATAAAATGTGATCAATTGGGAAATCAGTCTATCGGTACCTATAAATCATATATCATCATCATTTATTGATATATTGGAAATAAAACTAATAATTTTACCGAAAAGGTAGTTATATGTTATATCGTGTTACATTCTGTCAAATATGTCAGTGAAATAGTTTAATAACAATTATTAGAGAATATGTAAACTAAGAACAAAAACATAATCCTTTAAAATCTCAATCATTAGCATATATTGCTTAACAGGAGAACATAGCATGGAAATAAAAGAAGATGTTTACGAAGAGCTAGAGGAAGTATATGACAGCTCACCGAGAAATGACATTAAGATCGTAATAGGAGATATGAATTCTCAAACAGGCAAAAAAACATTGAAACCATTTTTAAACATTCAACTTTGCCAGTAGAAAAAACATAACCATCAGCTCGACTTTTTCGCATACAGCGACATACACAAAACGACATGGATTATGCCTGGTGAACAACCGCCAAATAAATTGATCATGTCTTGATAGACATAAGAACTGTAACAAGCATACAAGATGTAAAGAGCCGGAGAGGAGCACGCTGTGGATCTAACCATCTTCTAGTATAGATAAAATACAGATGCAGAATTCAAAGAAACAGAAGGACAGATAGAAACAAACAACAAAACAACTAGATACACAAAAATTGAGACAACAAGATATCAAACAGATCTATGAGACAGAAATAACACAAATATTGACAAATACAGGCAGTCTAGACACTGAAGAACATTGAGAAGAAATTAAAACAAAAGTAATTGGCGCAACAAGGAAGATCATAGGCAAAAAACGAAACAAATAAAAAGAGAATAGTTCAATAACGAGTGTAAAAAGACCATACGGAAATACGGAAAAGAAATGAAAAACATAAGAAATATATGAAAAGAAGATCCAGAGACAACAGAGCAAGCTACGAAGATGCAAAATGAAGGGGCGGTAAAATATGCCACTCTTGTATTTTCTTTTCTCAAATAAAGAAAATAAAAGAACGGTAATATACAGAAAACGGAAGAAAATCTCCAAAGCAACGATATAAGGGAAGTGTATAGATATCTAGGTAATTTAAGAGAAAGATACAAACCCCGAACAAATCTATGCAGAAATCAAGAAGGGTAAATAATCAGGGATCCAAAAGAAATAAAATCAGTTTGGAAAACCTATTTCCAACTTTCCTAGAGGTGCAAGCATATTGACATTAATCACATTGAGGGAGACACAGAAAATATAGAACCCCTGACGATGGAAGAGGTAAAACAAGCACTACGACCACAGAAGAATATTGTAAATCAAAGATGCTGAAATTAAAAGAAGAACACACTTTCAGCAAACTAGCATATATATTGAAAAACACCTCCATTCCTGTAAACTTAAAGAAAAAGGTGTATAACACATTCATACTATCAGTTTGTACCTTCGGCTTGGAGACAGTAGCCGTTACCAAAAAATCCGCTAAAAAATTAGAAACAACGCAAAGAGCAATGGGACGAATCATGTTTGGAATATCACTGAAAGACAAGATTAGAAACACCGAGATAAGACGTTAGAACGAAGATTTGGGATACTGTGGAAGAAATTCCAAATATGAAATTGCGCTAAGCAGGCACGTAGCCGGATATAATGACAACAGGTGGACACGTAGAATTCTAGAATGGAGATCAGGGACGACAACAGAAGCATGGAAAGACCTCAAAAAAGATGGATAGATGACATAAGAGCAGTGGCAGGCAACCAGTGGATTAGATTGGCGCAAGATAGGGAAAGATGGAAGCAATTGGGAGAGACCTACATTCAGGAGTGTATGGAAAATAGTTGACAAAGAGATATAGCTGCCGAGATACAGCAACGAAAGGGAAAAAAACATTTTTATCATTTTTTTTTTCACAAATTGTTTAATAAAAAATTTAGCCCACCTTTTGAAGTTTACTCATAGTTAAATTATCATTGCTAATGTTTCAAAGCGATTAAAGCAAAAAACTTAGATTATATACGATTCACCCAAGTGAGAGGGTTAAACAGATACCGCCATGGAATAAAAGTAGAATTAGGGAGAGCAATTCTGGTGGAAAAATCTCGGAATTTGGTTTAATTGCAGCTCGTTGCAACTACATTTATGGTAGCAGCTAGAAAAGTATCCTACCTCCGACAGGAGAAGAAAATCTAAGAAATATCACGATATCTTATATTTTGAAATAAGTGATGTATAGGTTGTAAAATTTTCTTTTGTTTATATACAAGGTTTTATATTCGTAAAAATTAGACCCGTGTTTGCAACAAATGATACGACAATGTCATATTGCCCTTCAAAGACACCAAATTGCGCCAAATAATAACTTCCTCTTCCACAAATTAAAAAAGTGTAGTCTTTTAAGTCTAATCTTCTTATTTTTAACTAATGTAACATCCTGTGAACTATACCACTATACTTATTAATTAGTAGTACTTACCAAATTCAATCTCGCAATCTTCTTTACAATTCGTGTTAAGTTGTTTCAGTAAATCGATAAAATCATTTCTCTTGACATTATTCGTCTCTCTATAATAAAGAGTATCTATAATAATTTTCTTCAAAAGTGTATTATCCAAAAAGTTTAACTTGAACAGCGACACAAAAGTAGGAACGAAAAAATACGAGAACAAGCGGAAGAATGGCAACAGCGCGACTTTATGGGAAAATAAATTTTTAGTGAAATTAACAAAATCTGATTCATCATTTCTAAAGCACTTTACTTCGTAACCAAAGAAACATGAAGCTACGATATCTGTCAAGAATTTTGATGACACATCTTTCATTTCTACTATTTTATTGTCGCACTGCGATAAATAATTTTGCATCTCTCTTGCCGCGTCTTTCATAATACCCAGCATCAGCTTCAGCTTTCCAGAAGTAAAAAATAGGCGTTAATTTAGCTCGTATGTACTTCCAGTCCGGGTTCCTCATAATGAACAAACTATTAGCAGCCATATCGTCGGCATTTTTGTCGCAAGCGAAAGTTCTATCGTCGAAATTTTTGAAATCTCTTATAGTGATGTTTTTAATGATCTCTGGGTTTCTTAAAACCAAGTAAGGCTTTCCTAATATGTATATTCCGAAGTATGGAGTGTTGTATTTACTGTACAAATATCCTAGATGTTTCCCAATTTGACGTTTCCCTGAAAAAACCTCCCAAAAGTTTCCCGCCAAAAAGTATGGTTCTTCGTAGGGTACACCTTTTTCCTTCCAGTAGTTATGGTTCCTGGTTAGATACTTGTAGAGAAGGTAGATCACAAGTCCGAAGAGGAATAAGGTATTCCAGTTGAAGAATATCATTATCTAAAAAAGAAAAAAAATTTAGAGATTTTCGATGTGGTATTACTGTAGGTAGAATGTTGTTTTGTTACAACAATTTTGTTAAAAATATGTTGTTGAAAAACAACGTATTTTTTTTATTAAAGAAAAAAGTGACATCCACCAAAAGGTTCTTAGCGTCGGAACAAAATATAAATAAAAAAATTAAATAACTGCAGATTATAGAAAGTGTTTAATAAAGATCTTAAATATTTAACTCATTCACATTCATTCACAAGAACTTAGATGCACCCTACCAGATGTCACCTCCTATGGAAAATATCAAAATTAACGAAATAAAAGAGTTAGTTAAACATCTCAATACTAAAAAAGCTCCAGGGTATGATTTAATATCGGGAAAAATCTGCAAAAATTTACCCGAAGAAGGATTTCGGTTGCTTATGTACATATTTAACGCTATACTAAAGTTAGGCTATTTTCCGTTTCAATGGAAAATGGCACAAATTATTCTAATACCGAAACCAAATAAATATCCGGAAGAACTATCATCCTATCGTCCAATCAGTTTGCTTCCCATTATCTCTAAGATATTTGAGAGGATACTCCTTCAGAAAATGAATTCTAATAATCGACAGACAAAAGTTAATACCTGATTATCAGTTTGGATTCAGGCAACAACATGGAACAATTGAGCAGGTACATAGAGTTGCCAAAGTAGCAAGAGATGCGATTGAAAAGAAAGAATACTGCACTGCAGCCTTTTTGGATGTCTCACAAGCATTTGACAAAGTATGGCATGAGGGGCTGCTATCTAAAATAAAAACTCACTTTCCTCATCCTATGTATGCTCTTCTGAGATCCTATCTTACCAATCGATATTTCCAGGTCAGATGCAATGAAGCAGTATCAAACATATCTCCAATTCTATCGGGAGTACCTCAGGGTAGTATATTGGACCAACTTTATACTTACTCTATACGGCAGATATTCCCACAAGAGTAAACAGCACAATCGCTACCTATGCAGATGATACTGTGATAATGGTTTCTAGCTCGGTTCCTGTTACAGCCTGTCAAAATTTACACAAATTCATTTAAATGAACTAGAGAAATGGTTAAAACTGTGGCGAATTAAAGTAAATGGCAGCAAATCAGCACATATAACATTTACTTTACGCAAAGAGAGTGTACCATCTGTGTGCATAAACAATACCATAATACCCAAAAAAAGTGATGTTAAATACTTGGGAATACATTTTGACAGCCGACTAAATTGGGGAAAGCACATCTGAACAAAGCGACTGCAACTAGGATTAATATACAGGAAAATGTATTGGTTCATGAATAAAAAATCCAAACTAAGTCTACATAATAAATTATTACTGTATAAATGTGTTCTAAAGCCAGTTTGGACCTACGGTATACAGATATGGGGTACAGCATCTAATTCTCACTTACTGAAACTTCAAAGTTTCCAATCTAAAGTTTTGAGACATATTACCAATGCACCGTGGTACGTGCCCAATTATGTGATACACCGTGATCTTCAGATCCAAAATATTAAAGACACCGTTGTCTCACTCAGTGGCACTTACAGAAATAGACTACTAAACCATCCAAATACACTTGCCCAAGACCTACTTAAGCGACCAAGGAGAGGAAGACTAAAACGACGTGATCCTCTAGACCTCTGTATACCTTTATATACATAAACGTATATATCATTTTATAGCTACAACTGATACTACATATACCTACAACTTATAATTGTGTGTGTTGTTATAATTTTAACTATTACTATTTTTTTTTTAATATGTTAGTAAAATGTCTTTGTAAATTTTTATTTATATTTCAAATATTTATATATATTAGAAATTTATCTTAAGGATTTCTGTCACTGGACAGCTCTCCCCTATGTTAATTACTTGATAAACATATTGATTATTGTTTTTTTTTTATTTCTAGAAACAGATTTTAATAAATAAAGGATGAAAAAAAAATATTTAACTATACTATCATAGGAACATTCCTGACCTAGAGCTTCTGCTAGACAGTTGGAGATATTGTAACGATGTCTTTCTTGTTCATATTTACCAAAATTTGTTAAAAAGTGTTCAACTGTTAATCGAAAGTTACGCTGATCACATATGGGTGGGTTATTGTTTGTGGATCCACTGGAAAACATTACTCTTGATCGTATTCAGCTTAGAATTAGTTTGAGGCCACTTATTTCTCCACAAACACAACAGTTTATTTTTAAAATAAACTTTTAAGTCACTGGAAACACACGTCTATAGGCTCCGAACAATCGCTTAAAATTGCCTGCCGTGCAGTCCTGTCAGCTTCTTCGTTTCCCAATAATCTGAAGTGTGAAGGTACCCACAAAAATTGAACTCTTCTTCTATGTTGATGAGCTTGAGACAGCTGGTATTTTAATAATTTTTCAAAAGAATGTTTCGGAAAAATATGTTTTACTTACAAGAATTTATTTTAAATTCGAGATATGGTCAATGTCAGTAGGCGTGCAATTCTCCCCACTAAAAACAAAATGCATGCTTTTCTCAAGAAGGCATCGGCCACAGAGAACATCTTTAAAACTGTATGGCGAGCCGCTCAAATTCTCAGAAAAAATTCTTGCCAAAATGGATTAAATGTAATCAAAACATTATCAAATAAAAAATGGGGATCCGACGAAACCACGTTATTAAAATATTTATAAGTCACTCGTTAGATCAAAAATATATTATGGGGCTATTGTGTATGCCTCCGCTAAAAAACATGTTACCAAGCAACTTGAAGTCATTCAGAACACAGCACTTCGCATTGCCATAGGTGCATTTAGAACCACACCAGTTAAGAATCTCCAATGCCTCACCGGAGAGCCACCTCTTGATCTACGAAGAAAATATTTATGCCTTTCGTATGCAGCATCAGTCGCCAGCAACAAATTTCACCCAGTATTTCAAAATGCATTTACGGACCGTTACCTAGAAGCTTATAACAAAAGTAGGTTCGATCCACCATTCTACGAAAGAGTTCGAAGAAATTTAAAAGATCTACAACTCCAAATTTCTGACATCTTTCCTTCAAATGTAAAAACTCCACCTCCCTGGTTAATCATGATTCCCGAAATCAATACGACGCTACTCCAATATAACAAATCAGATACATCACCCACTGTAATCCGACAGTCTGTTTAAAGGAACTGAGACTTACGGGAAAAGCTTTTGCATTTATACAGATGCCTCCAAATCTGCAAATGACGTAGGAGCAGCATTTGCCACTCCATATTCCTCTTCCCATTTTGAATTAATGCCAGTCACTTCTATATACACAGCAGAATTATATGCAATATTACAAGCCCTCATTCATATCAAAAGTACAAAACATTCTTCTTCCGTCATTATCACAGATTCTCTAAACTCCTTAACAACAATCGGTCAACTATATACTAAGAACCCTATAGCCTTACTTGTCAAGAAAGAACTTGCTGCCTTACAAGAATCTGGTTCAGAAGTCAAATTTATGTGGGTTCCATCTCACACGGGAATGCAAGGTAATGAAAACGCAGACCTCCAAGCAAGAGAAGCTACAAAAATGATCAAGCTATAATAGTGTCAAAGACTATCTGCAGTGATATAAAACAGTTCGTTAAAGAAAAAGTGATTAGTGCGTGGCAAAATAAGTGGAACTTATCGGAATCTAAATAAAAGAAATTAAATCGACAGTGAAACCGTGGCGCCTAGTAAACTTAAAAAGAGCTGACCAAGTCAAAATTTCTCGACTTCGATTAGGTCATACCAATATTACTCATAAGCACCTAATAAGTAAAGAAGACATTCCAGTGTGTGATTACTGTCAAGTCAATATTACTGTTAAACATCTCCTAACAGAATGTGGAAAATATACAGTTAACAGACAAAATAACAATATTTCCAGTGACTTAAAAACAGTATTAGGTGAACATTTAAATACTAAAAACTTAATTAGATTTCTAAAAGAAACATCTTTATATAATTTAATATAATGTAGTAAACTAATGTCGCTAATGACCCAGGTGGTTGAAGCGGACTATTATTAGTAAATAAAAAAAAAATGTTTTAATGAGTTTAGAGAGCTAAGGGAATCTGTTATGATCGGGGCTTTTGTGAAAGTAAGCTCGTTAAAAAATTTCACAGCATGGTATATAGTGTAGAGCTCAGCTGAATATGTGCTGTATACTGGAGGTAGACGGAAAAGAAGATTGTTTTCTAAGGAAACGATTTATGCCCCTACTCGTCTTTGGACTTGGATGCATCTGTATATATTTTATAGTAGTCGGGGTACTTTTCTAAGAGGGCTTCGAACTTTACCCGAATAAGGGAGTTGTTTGTACTGGATTTATCGAAATGAGCCAGAGATGTATCACAGATCAGTAAATCGATCAGCAAAGGCTCAGGGTATTTAATATCCAAGGAGAAAACATCTGGAAAATTAGTGTTTAGATTTGAAGTATGGATTTAATT